TCAGTTCTGTTCAATTCAGTTCAGTTCAGCTCCAATTAGTTGAATTCAATTCAACTTCTAATTTTCCTCTCTCATAAAATATTTTTTTCAACTCAGTTCAGTTCAGTTTAGCTCCAATAAGTTCAGTTCAGCTCCAATTAGTTCAGTTCAGTTCAGTTGAGTTCAGTTCAGTAAATGTGAATCGACCCTAAATTAAAGACACATTTGCTAACAAAGGGGAAACTATGCTAAACAAAACAATTTCAAACATGAGTCATATACTATGTAGTCCATAATTTGGTAATACTTAGGTCCTGTTTATTTCACCTTATTTTTAGTCAGTTAAAAAAAAAAAAGTTCAGATCAGCACATCATTTTATGTGCAATTTTTTATCGCTAAATATCTTTAATTTTGTAATGAAAAAAATTATGAAAATTACATATTAATAAAATATACATTATTACGAATCTAACAAGATCCCACTTGATATATTTTTTCTTTATAGATTGTCATACACTTAAAGTCAAAGTTTGGTCAAATCAGACAATCAGATTAGATCTGACCAGATCAGATAAGTTCTGATAAACAAAGATAAGACGAACTAAACAGGTCCTTAGTATGTTTCGCAAATATTGCACAATGACGGGTTTATACATCTGAATGCACATTCAATTTTTTGTAATGGGTCTGAATGCACATTCAATCTTAAATATCTTTATTTCTCTACCCTTATAAAAACCAGAAGTTGTGGGCACTATTTAAAATCTACAGTGTATTTCCGTTTTTACCCTTCTTCTCTTTTTTTTTGGCTTTTCCACAAAAAACGCCTTCTTGTTGTTGGGTCTTCACTGATTTCTAATGCCCATGTATTTAGTTGATGTGGAATGTGGGTCCCACCTCCTAACAAAAGTCTTCTTTTTCTCTTTTTGGGTTTTCTTAGTTGTTTATTATTGTTTGGGGGTTTATTACTTAATTTTATTAACACAATGCATTTATTATTGTTTTGGGGTTGTAATTATATGTATGGTTAAATACTCACGCTGTGCTATTTTTGTTTTCTTAGCAAACGAAAAAATAGCTATTAAAAAAATCAAATAAAAAAAAAAGAAAGGGAATGCTCAGCCTTTGATTTTTTTGTTCCCTTTTTTTATTTTTTTTCCTTTTTTTGGTTTTCCTTTTTATTAACAATTTTTTTACAAGATGACTTTGAAAGAGCATATTGATAATAAGTCATTTAAAAAGGGGTTTACTTACTTAATAAGTCATTTAGCAAGTTTACCACGTGTGGTTTGGGGTTAGTCATTAGCTATTTTGTAGCTAATTTAGTATTGATCATTAATCTGAAAAATTAATATTAGAGCACTTTGTTATGCAGCTTAATGCACGTGATTTTGGGTTAGTCATTAGCTAATTCTTAGCTGACTGAATATTGATCATTAGTCTTCAAAAGTAGTATATTAAAGCACCTTGTTATTTAGCTTAGTGTACGTGGTTTTGGGTTAATCATTATCTAATTTGTAACTAATTTAGTGCTGATCATTAATCTTGAAAAGTATTATATTAAGGGACTTTGTTGTGTAGGTTAGTGTGGAGGATTAATTATTACAAGAGGAAGAAGCTAATATGGTCAATGAGAATGGTTACTTGCACATATGTGGTCTTCCATATTTTAAGGGCTATTAGAGTGTAGCATTGTCTTTGTTTCTTTGACTGTCAATAGTCTTTGAGATTGTCTAGACATTTTGTTTGAAATTGTACTTTTTTTGGTGACTGAAAAATTATTTTTAAAATTCATTGTGTGTGTTCATAAGTTGGGTATATATAGAGAGAATTCCTCTTGTTTGTGGTCTGTCTGTCACTTGCACTATTTCTTACAATTTGACTTCTTGTTTTGGTGCTAGAAACTTACAGCAAAGTCATTACTAATTCTAAACAAAGAAAGATCAGGTAACTTAAATTTTATTAGTTGTTGGGAATAAATGTGTTTGTTATTAACTATTACATTATTATCATATATGCAACAATTGGCAATAATCTGATGGGCCAAGATCTTGATTAGCCATGACAAAAGACAATTCCATACATTATAGGACTGTGACAAGGACATATCAGATATTTCATTATGATTTGAGTATGGATGGATATGCTTTTTATGTTGGTGTTTGATGGATCGATTTTTGTTAGGTGTATGAAATAAAGGGCTATTAGCTTTTTTTTTGTGATTTTGTCATTAAATGTGTTATTAAGTTGTGATGAGGTGTGGTGGCTAGTTTAGATGTTTTGCGGGTTTTGTTATGTGTTGTAAGTAGGAGTGTTTGTCTTGTGTGATCTTGTTATGTGAATCATGTCATGTGTTGCTAGGGTGTGTGTATGTTGTTTGGAATTAAAGTTATTGGTGATGAGTTGATTGATTTCATATTATATGTTGTTGGGAGAAACCTATGCCATCTGAAGTGTAGGGTAATTCTTTTTTGGGTGTTCTGGTTTTCTTTTTGTTCTTTTAAAAATTGTTCATAGAATGTGCTCCTTATTTTCTTTTTTTGATAATCATGTGCCTAAAAAATGTGGACTTGTACTACATAATTATATTATGGTATAGATTTTTAGCCTTTTTTTTAACTTTCTGTCATTTATTTCATTTTTGAAAAGAAGAAAAGGCTTTTAGATCATAAGAAGTGTCCTGTTCTGAGTATAAGTTATGGTTGTCTATGTATGCAGCTATGTCACTGCTTTAAAGCATTTCAGGTGGCTCTTATTATGTTGTATGTTTGTTGTTGCTATTTTAAACTGCTTCTGTAGGACTATTTATATGAATATTGGGTAGTGTTCTAGGTTGATTTGTTTCTATAGAAAGGTAAAAAGAATTATTAAAATATCTGTATTGGGGATGTATATGATGGGTGGTGTTTTAGACTTATTTGTTTGGAGTTTAAGTTATTTGTGATTGGGTGATTAATTTCATGTCATATGTTTTTGAGAAAAGGCTATGCCATTTGAAGTGTAGAGTAATTCCTTTTTTCTGTATTCTAGTTTCCTTTCTGTTCTTTTAAAAATTGTTACTAGAATATGTTTTTTGTTTTTTTGCCTTTGATAAATCATGTGATTGAGAAATCTAGACTTGCTTTACATGATTGTATTATGGTATATGTTGATAAGAGTTTTTTTTAATTTACTTTCTGTCATTTCTTTCTTTTTTGGAAAGAAGAAAAGGTCTTTGGATCACAAGAAGTGTCCTGTTCTAGGTATAGGTTACTGCAGTCTATGTATGCAGCTATGTCACTGTCTTTAGGCATTTCAGGTGACTTGTATTATTCAGTTTGTTGTTGCTATTTTAGCCTGTTTGTGTAGGATTATTTATAAGAATATTGGACAGTATTATGAGTTGATTTGGTGCTATAGAAAAGTAAAAAGAATTATTTAAACATCTGTATTCGGGTTGTATATGATGGTTGGTGTTTTGGACCTATTTTAAAATTTTATGCCTATGTTTACAGGTCATGGACTTGCCACCCACACAAGTAGTTATGCCATTTCGCCCGCTTTTGAAGCAGATTACCAACTACTTGAACTTTCCTGATCCAGATTACCAGTTTGTTGATGAGCCTGGGAGCATTGCTTGTGTGGTGGTTCGGAGAAATTGCGGTCCCATTGCATCTGTTTACATTGGTGGCTATACTAGCAGTATAGAAGAGTCATGTGAAGTTCCTGCTAGAAAGGCTGTATATGATCTTATGAAAAAATATGAAATAGTTTTTGAGGATGTGACTTATTTAAGGAAACAAATGTATGATCGTTGTGGGCAGTTGTTTTGGTTTAAAAAGGAGGAGCTAGAACGCATTGAAAAGGAAGAAAGTAAGGTGTGTATGAATGAGGACCTTTGTTTAGGAGCTGAAGACAATCATAAGAAGATTGTGGTAGACTTTGTTGTTATTTTAAGGGCTATCTTTAAGATTGTTGAGATAAGGTGCACCCCAATTGAAACCATTGAGCATTCTCCTGATGAGTACACTTCCTGGTTTACTGTCATGCCTCATAAGGAGGGAATAGGTTTTCGGTGTCTATTTAGTGATTATTGCCGGACTGTAGCTGTTGCAAAGCAGAGCTTGGCTAGAAAGGCTGTGGACTATCTTAGCGATGTCTTTAACCTTGTAATAGTTGATGCTAATTATAAGGTTACAACAGCTAGGTTTGATGCCATCTTATGTACTCTAGAAAGGGAGAGCTATTTAAGTGTCAAGGAACGTGTGTTAGGAATTAAGGAGGATCTGGAACCTTCTACTGTTCTTATTGAGCAGGACTGTCTTACTCCACTTGGACAAGAATTCCAGGTTCCTGTGGCTATTCCACCTGCTTTAATTTGCCTCCCAAGAAGCGCCTTCTAAGGTATATATATGCCGAAACATCTCCTGTTGTTGATTCTGGTTGTAAGATGGCTTCAGTGTTTCCAGTGCCAGGGATCTTGGGGATTGTTTTAAGCGTGTGAAGTTTGTTAAGAAGAATTAAGTACCATTAGTGTGTTCCTATAAATTAGTAATGCTGATGATGTGCTACCTAGCTCCTTTTGATTATTAATGTAGCTAGGTTACTATTATGTTACTGAATTTATCATAAGACTATGTCAGGTGCCATTGTGTAGGCCTTCTTTTGTTAAAAACAATTAAGCAGCTAAACTTTTGTATGATATTTGATGAAGTTATGTAATGGAGTTAATTTTATATTTTCTTGTATAAGATATGCTTAGCTTATTCTTTGGTATATGAGATTATGCAGAATCTAGAATTGTTTGTTTCTATATTGTTTAAATCATTGAATATCTAAATTGGTTTTGTTTACCTATTTTTTGCATGCTATATTTGGTAACCAGGACTGATGAAAGGTTGGGCATTACAATTCGTTTCCCTGTAAAGTTACAGTAAGATAGCTGCTGAGAATCATAGTCTGTTTGGATATGAGTATGTTCTATAACATATCGTTCTTCCTTTTTAAATAAGCATAACACTGGAAGTTAATTTTCTAAGCTATGAATTTCAAATACTATATTGTAGATCGTTTGTTACGAGAGCCATCATCTTCAAAAGGGTACAACACCAAACGCCTTAAAAGTTTAGAATCTGCGTCTCAACATGGAATGGAAAGGTATACATGGACATAAAAATAAGTTCAAACAAAGTTATACATATATGGAGGTGTTTTATTTTAGATATAAATCTGTTAATTAAAGCAATAAAGACTTTTTATACTTCAAAGAGTAGCTTCTGCAGCAGTTGCATCGTATGATGCGCTTTTTTTTGTAGGATGCAGACTGTGCCTGCTGCAAAGCGTGCAAAGATATCCAAACCCAAGCAGCCTGTTACAAGTAATTTAGTCTTTCTTTATTCTTATGGCACTTCATATCTGTATTCACTATCTTGATAAAGATATACAAGCATTATTATCTATTCGTTTTAGGATACACATGTCTGAATATTCTGTAAACATGTTGTGGTAAGTAGGGCTTCCTGATGCAGCAATTGGTAAGAAGCTACCTGCAGAACCCTACCAGCTTCCTTCTCCTACAGAGTGTTCTAAGTGTAGGGCACGCAAATTTGCCTTTGAAACGGCTCATTTTTGCTGTGGTGATGGTGAAGTTAAGATAGTTGCAAATGATGATCCTGCACAGCTTGTTAGGCTGTTGACTTCTATGGATGAAGACGCTAAACATTTCAGGCAATACATACGTTTATATAACAATATGTTTGCATTTACATCATTAGGTGGAAAATTTGATGCTAAAACAAAAATAGGGATCTATGTTTTTAAACTACATGGGCAGCTATATCATTATATTCCTTATCTACTTCCTGGAAAAGAAGGCCCTAAATACATGCAGCTCTATTTTTATGATGGAGAGCTTGAAGCAAAGAAACGGCTAGGCTGTTTTCCAGAACTAAGGGAAGATGTGTTAGCTATTCTCATGGAAGTCACTAAAGTAAATCCTTATGCAAGATTCTTTCGCTCACTGAGAGAGATCCAAATAACTGAGTCTACATAGATTGTAATAAATAAGACAACTGTACCAGATCAGCGTGTTTACAATGCTCCTTCCACTGATGAGGTTTCTGTCATATGGCCAGAAAATACGTCTTCAAGTGAGTCTGAAAGTCCTCATATTCTGGTCACAGCAAAAAAAGAACCGTCTGAACATGATTCATTGGAAGATGATTTACCTGAGGATGATTCACTTGACAACGATTCATCTAGGAAAAAATCGTGTCATAGAATCATGCACTATTACGGCTGCTATGATCCCTTACAATATCCGCGGCTTTTTCCATATGGTGATTGTGGGTGGACTCAAGGTTTAAATTAAAAAAAGATGTCTCAGGGTGGAAGGCAGCAACTACAATCACAACCCGATCCTGTTTCTTCATGCAGTATTCATACTGCAGAAGACCTACTAGAAGAAGAAGCAAGACGTACGTATATTTAGTGCTTTTAATTATGCAAAAAAGCTATACACATAAAAAGTATATTGTAAAAACCAAAAGAAAAAAAAAATCATACTTTCAAAAAGGGAAGGATTACATGATTTATGATATTTACACATGAGATTTTAGTTAGTGTAATGTAGCCTATTTTTGCTGGTTTGTAAATTTAGAAAACAAATCTAATAAACTTTGCATTTGTAGGTGCAAGTGGAGGCTCATCGAAAACTAATAGAAACATTTCAGCAAGAGAATACTATGCATACAAATTGCAATGCAGACCAAATAACATGTTGCTAAAAGCAGGAAGATGCTTCCAGCAGTACATAGTCGATATGTATGTCAAAGTGGAGAATACTCGGTTAAATTTCTTCCGTAGAAATCAACAAACGATAAGAGCAGATCTATATCAAGGGATCCTTGACACTATTGATTGTGGTGAAAACTGTGCAGCAAACGTGGAACGTAGGGTCATCTTGCCTCCAACATTCATTGGTGGTCCTCGAGATCTTAAAAAGAGATACTTAAATGCAATGTCTTTGGTGCAGCGATTTGGTAAGCCTGATTTATTCGTTACAATGACTTACAATGCTAATTGGCTTGAAATTAAACAAGAGCTAGCTGTTGGAGAAAAAGTACAGGACAGGCCAGACATAGTTGCAAGAATTTTTAGAGCAAAGGTTCTTGCTTTAAAGCATTTGATTAAAAAGAAAAAGGTGTTCGGGGAGGTAGCAACAATGATCTATGTGATTGAATTTCAAAAAAGAGGTTTACCTCATGCCCATTTTCTAATCATTCTAAAGCAAGACTATAAAATCAAATGCCCTGCTGATTTTGATAAGTTTTTTGTGCTGAAATACCATCTACTGATAACATGCATCTTAGGAAAATTGTGCTAAAACATATGATGCATGGTCCATGTGGTCATTTGGATCCAGAATGTCCTTGCATGAAGCACAAAGAAATTCGTGGTCGTTGTAAGTATGGTTATCCAAAGCAGCATTGTGATGAAACAAGAAATAGCAGTGATGGATATCCATTATATAGAAGAAGAGACACAGGAGAGAATGTTACAAAAGCAATCATGGATAATAAATGGGTGATCCCATATAATCCATACCTTTCATCATACTTTGATTGTCACTTAAATGTTGAAGTGTGCTCTACTATAGAAGCCGTCAAATATTTGTACAAATATGTGTATAAAGGTCATGACAAGATATCTTTTAGTGTTGTTCAGTCTACAGATGTTATGCCTGTCCAAGATGAAATACATCAGTATCAATCAGGTCGATGGGTTTCTCCTTGTAAAGCTGCTTGGCGCCTCTTTGGCTTTGACTTATACGAAATGCACCCACCAGTTTTGCCTCTTCCTGTGCATTTGCCCAATTCACAAATTATACAGCTTAGGCCTCATGAACGGCTTACATCAGTGGTTTCAAATGACAAGTGTTCTAGGACTTGTCTTACAGAGTTTTTTCGTATGAATTGTGCATTACCATCTGGAACCGGTTGGTTGTACACTGAGTTTTCAGAGCATTATCGTTGGGATGCATCTAACAAACATTGGTATGAACGACGAAATAAGAAAATTTTCATTGGTAGATTGGCATTTGTTGGACCTTCAGAAGGAGAAAGATACTAGCTATCTCAGACTATTGTTGCACAATGTAAGAAGTCCTAAGTCATTTGAAGATTTGCGAACAGTTGATGGACATTTATGTGACACCTTTCATCAAGCTGCACTAAAATTAAGACTATTAAAAGAGATGATTCAATTGATTTATGTTTGAGAGAAGGTTGTGCAGTTCAGATGCCACTTGCAGTTCGTAAGCTCTTTGCTACTGTGCTTATCTTTTGCCAACCCAGCGATCCTCTCTCTCTTTGGATGAAATATTATACTTTTTTTTCTGAAGATTTTAGACACGGGTATACTTCTGATCCACTAAAAGTGAAGAATCTCACTGTTAAGTCAGTTGAATGGTTTTTGGAATCAATGGGAAGCTCTCTTGCTGCATATGGACTAGACCATTTAGTTCAGCCTGATGTTGATGAAATACGCAGAACAAAGGATATAGAAGATGCATTGAATGCTCCAATACCATATCAGTGTCTACAATGCAAGAACCAATTGAATCAGGCTCAACGAGAGGCTTTTAATGTCATAATGGATCATGTTACAAAGCAAATACATGGGGCATTTTTTATAGATGGTCCTGGTGGAACAGGAAAGACTTTTTCATATAATGCTTTATATGCAGAAATAAGGCTGATGAATAAAATTGTCTTGCCAACAGCAACATCCGGTATAGTTGTAGCTAATATTCCTTCTGGAAGAACTGCACACTCACGGTTTAAGATTCCACTATATCCTCTTGAATCACTTGCCTGTAATGTACCTAAACAAGGAAGTCTAGCAGCATTGCTTAAAGAAACAACACTTATCATTTGGGATGAAGCTTCGATGGCAAAAAAGGAAAACATTGAGTCACTTGATGTGTTACTCAGAGATATTTGTAATCCCAATTTATTATTTGGAGGTAAAATTGTTGTATTTGGAGGAGATTTCAGACAAGTTCTTCTTGTCGTTCCAAAGAGAACACAACGTGAAGCAGTTGCTGCTAGCTTGGTCAGTTCTTCTCTATGGCCGCTGTTAATTAAATTTAGATTAACAGGAAATATTCGAGCTAGACTTGACCCAGATAGCATATGCAGCCTTTTTACTGGCACTTGGGAACGGACAGTTGCAAAATACAGAAGATGCATTTGTGCAGCTGCCAACAGAAATTGTACAACCTTATGATGCTGCTACACCTCAAGATATGCATTTGACTTCGGTTGCATTTCCAGAAATGGATATGCCTCCATTTAGTGCAGACATATTTACAACTAGAGCTATACTCACACCAATCAATGATGATGTGGATGTTATAAATGCAGTTTTGATAGACAAATTTCCATGTGAAGCAGTGGCGTACAAGAGTTATGATTCAATGATCGATGATGATTGTAACATCTATCCTACTGAATTTCTGAATAAGCTTTGTCCTGGTGGCATGAGCCCTCATGAACTCATATTGAAACCCAATAGTCATGTTATCCTGCTACGTAACATCTTATCATCATCTGGACTTTGCAATGGAACGCGCCTAATATGTAAAAAAAATTTCCCAAATCTCATTGAATGTGTTATTGCTATTGGGCATCATAAAGGAGAACATGTATTGATACCAAGGATTAATCTAAGACCATCAGAGTCTTCAGGTTATCCTTTTCAATTTCAAAGGAAACAATTCCCTTTAAAGCTTAGCTTTGCGATGACCATCAACAAAGCTCAAGGGCAAACACTTAACAAAGTTGTTGTTTACCTACCAAGATCATGCTTCTCACATGGTCAGCTGTATGTTGCCCTTTCCCGAGCTCGACAAGCAACTAATGTCAGTGTTATAACTGACAGAAATGCTGATCAGGCCAGTTTTTGTCATGTCAAAAATGTCGTGTCTTATGATATTTTACATATGGCTGGCATCATTTGAGTGCATCAGTAAGTGATACCTTTCTGTTCTTACAAATTATAGGCTACTGCTAATTTTTACACCCTTTAAAAATTAAGTGTTCAGATAAAGAGCCTACTCCACCTAATTTTCTTTCATTGTGTGTTTTGCTACAGGTTAGCCTTTTTCTATAATTTAAGGTATTCATTCTGAAGGATGGCATATTCTCCAAAGGTATGTTGTTAGTAAGTGAAGGACCTTTTTTTTGGAACTAATACTCTGATTTAAGGTTAGCCTCTATAGCATACTAATATTTCTTGTGATGCCTTTGGTGATTGCTATACAGTGGTCCAGGAACATTTGGCTGATCATGGCATTACAAGACACCTAATTATTCTATCTTTCAATTTAGTATCTATATGTATGGTTACCAGACCAATAGTAGCTCTGATTAGTTGCTGACTTGTATCTATGGCGAAGAAAGAATCTACTGTGATGATTTGAAGCTATGATTAGATGCACATATATGGATTTGATAGCACTTTTCATATGGTGCTCGTGTTCTTTGGACAATAAAAGTAAATTCAATAGCGTTGTCATCAAACAATCATTCGCGTGTCACAAACAAATACGATTTAACAAATAATTATTTCAATACACCAAGTACTCCCAAGTAAAAAAAAAAAAAAAAAAAAAAAAAAAGGAAAAACAGACAAAAGAGAAAAAATAAAAGGACATGTAGATAGGAAATCCAATAAGTAGAAGGAGAGAATTTTTGGGGTTTGATTGTATTTAAAAAAACAGTAGGCAATTTATCTAATCAGAGTACATGTGGTGGTGGAAAAAATGGGGAATGTTAAAAGACCACATATAGCAAATCTAATAAGTACAAGTAAGTCAAGTAACATGGAAGAATTTCAGGAAAAAGGTATGGTCCAAAAAATATACATACAAGCAAAAAAAAAAAAAAAAATAGAACATGTACAAGCAATGAGATCTAATTCTTTACTTTGGATACATGTGACAGGAACAGTATGTAAGTGATGGAGTATATACATGATATAATAAAATTCTTACAAATCATGAGATTTAGTTTAGCTAAAATTATATATATATGGCAAAAGATACACAAATAGATTTGGAAATTTATATTAAAGTTTTGTTCAAGTACATGCTACATATCTATAGAATAAATAACCTATTTTAGGAGTTAAGCTTACTGATTTTATGCAAAAAAAATACAGCAAAACACTGTTATAGAAAACAGTAAGTTTGAATTCTTGCTTCTTCCTTTGAATTTTTTTAAAGATCAAATGTACTATAAAAAGACTAGGTTTTGTTGTTCCACATCAAATTAACTATCTTAGTAGTACATTACAACGAGAAAACTCAACAAAAAAAAGATACAAAAAGCCACACACACAGAAAAAGGATTTGATATCCTTCAGCATTAGCATTAAATCCTCTGGTTGTTGACAGGTATGATCAGCCTCTATTCTGCTTCAATTTATTATCTTTGTTAAGAAATAAAATTAGTTTTATGCAAATTATGATTAGCTGAACATCTATCATAGATTCCATATATGCTATTATTTATTGTGTAACAGACTCTAACTGTTATGTGTGTGGGAACAAAAGCCATAATTTGTCTGTAGTATTGCTTATTAATGTGACATAGTATGTTTACTGTGATGTTAGCATAATTTAGTTCACATGATTAGGTTTATAAAATGCTGAATTTATAAAGTTAGCTGTTAATTATTAATGGACATAAATTGAACAGTTCATAATTATTTAATATGCTAGAGTTTATAGACTAATCAGTATTTATAAGATAAAATGCTACAGTGGAAATTACATGTTAGATCTGTAAATTTATACACAAGTAGACAAATGAGTATTTTTTAGATAAAAGATACACAAGTATGCATAAATTTCTAATCATGTTTCATATATAATAATGTGCTTGGCTTATAATTCTGTGCTTTTAAGTATGCTAAAATATGTTAGCACATTTCTTGCTTCCAATGTCACAGAATTCATATTGTACTTGATCTTAGTGCTTTATGTCCATTTGCTTATACTCTTTCTTATAGACAAGTTTATACAAGATGTAACTTCTGTAGAATCAGTGCTAAAAATAAGAGAATGTTCAGCTAATAGGATGTTTTCATGGTATATCATCTGATAATCTATCATAATCTATACATGAAATAAAAACTTATTTACTTTTTTTATTCTGTTTTATAGAAAATCTTATTATGGCACCACAACGAAAATTTCTCGATGAGCTCGATACATCGAGCAAATCATACAAGGTTAAGGTGAATATTGCAGAAAAGGGTAGAAAGCAAGAATCTGAGAAGAAAATATTGTACCAGTATATTATCTTACAGGATGACAAGGTATAGTTTATACATGCCATATACAAACATCCATTCAACCTATAACAGATCATAGTACATGACCATGTAATAGAATATTCTTGTGCCTTTTTTTTCCAGAAAAATCGCATGAAGGTGACATTATTTAGTGATCAAATTGATGCATATAAAGATGTTATCTTGTTTAGAGGAAACTACGACATTGCTAATGCCTTGATAAGGCCACTAGATGCATAGTATAGAGCCAGAGAATCAAATCTGCCATTTCAGATGACAATAGGCAGCAGGACTCTCATCCAGTCTTTGGATCCTGAAGGAGAACAAGTTTTTCCTAAGTATCAATCTCTTGCTTCTATTCCAAGAGTTTCTACTGATGATATTCGACATGGCAAAGAAAATACCTAGACTAATGCTTATAATTTCTAATTAAAAAATCCAGTCCATTACATGCAATTTACTCACACATTCTCTTCTTTGGTAGATATACTTGTTATTGTGCTCTACGTTGCAAATGAACCGCGGAAAATTGTCACAACACTAAACAAAGAAACAGCTGTTCGCGACTTGATGGTGATAGATCACAGGTACTTGTATACATACCTTAAATGACTTACTTTTATTACAGCATTACCATAACTACAGTAATTACATTCTTCCTTTATGCATCTACTTTCAGCACTGATTCACCAGTCAAGGTGTGTACTTGGAATGATTTATCTGGAAGGCAGTGTGAGGCTCTTGTCTCTGACAGTGAAAATTTCAAAGTAATTGGCATCATAGCTTTGCGTCCTATCACTCGCAAAGGTACATCAGAAAACTATCTAATAAGTCTATACTTATCCTCACTATTCCCATGATTATCAGTTGCATTATAAAGTATTTATCTTTGTAAAATCACAGGCTTTCAGCTTGAATCATCACTTATATGGTATAGTATCTATATGTAGCTATTGTAGAATTCTCTTTTACTTTCATTAATATCAATATAATAGTTCTTGATTATATGATTTTTAGATTAACATATCTAGAATCAAGATCATGCTGACATTTATATTGACAATGCAGGCAGCAAAAACGCTTCCACATGAGATTTATTGGCTCAGAGTTATAGCATCTGATATTCAATACGACCGGCTTAGAGCATATATAGGATGTTCCTACTATGGAAAGCGAACACAGCTACCACTTGGAACAGTCTATGCTTGTATAGCTTGTGAGAGGAATGAAGTGTCTGCTACTTAGCGGTAAAAACCGCCTATGGATTACATGACACAGCAAAAACAATATGTTACTTATAACAATTGAAAACAAACACTAATTTTTCAATTTATGTAGAGCCACTATTACTTTTACTGCTTCAGATGGAACAGGATCTCTGCAACTTACTGCATTTACTGAAAATTCTGTTCCACTACTTGGCATGTCAGCCGAGGATATCTATCACATGAAAGCAATGGTAAATAGTCCAAAGTTTACATTTAATAATAACATATACCATTTCTCTTTAATTTACCAAAATACTTACTATAAAATTAATCTAAAATCAATCTATATTTCAGGATGATACTGCTAAGTTTGCCCAGGTAGCTTCTAAGCTGCGCAATACATACTTCTTACTCAAGATTGGCCCTACAACTGCTTTGGAACAGAATAACGTTCTACAATGGGGTATAAAAGGTGTGGAGATGGAAGACACTGTCACAGCTGATGGTGCAGGAAGCAGTTCTGCAAATATTTCTGCAGTAGATGGTGTCAAAGATGCACCAAAAATAGCCGACACTAAACATGATAAACGTGAAAAAGGCAATGCATCTGCAGCCACGGATAGCCAGAGCTTGAACAAGACCATCAAAAAAGAAACAGTTGAAGCTTATGACCTATCAGTCTTCAGCCAGGAAGAGGAAGATGCTTGAATATTGGCAGAGGAAATGGCTGCAACAAGGAAACTAGCCCAATCAAGTGCAGGAGATTCTGGCTCAAAGAGGAAAAGATTGAATGTTGATGCAAGTTCTGGAACCGCTACACCAGAAAAAGACGTTATTGAGCCTGAAGTGCAGTCAGCAATCAAGGCTGCACATGTCATAAAGGAGAAGGAAAAAGATCCAGCTTATCAATCAGCAGTTAAGGGCAAGGGTGTTGCCTTTGACATAGACATTGTTTCTACTGAAAAAAAACAAGCTATTAAGCAGGAGAAGGAAAGCAAACGAAGATCACTTGTGTTTCAGGAAGATGACTCGGATGACCTTTGAAGAAGAAAAGGGAGACTTATGACAGATCAGTTGGGTAACAGCTTCACTTATTAAATCTTTTGCTATGTACATACTAATTAGGGATATGCATTTTAAGTAAATCTTTTGCAGAATGTGGCTATTATAAAAGACAGGTATCTTTAGATTACTTGTCTTAAAATAAAACCACATGTAAGCACAATATCGGTTATGCTTAAAGATTTTGAAAGTTGTGGTCTTGGAAAGGAACAGGTTTTACAGAAATACCTGTTCCTAAACAACACCAATTGTTGATGTGCTAGCCTTGATACTCAATGTAAATGAGTGTAATATCCCGTATTTTAATGTATTTTATATATATTATTTATTTAATAATAAAATATATTTTGGGTCAAACTATTTTAATTATTGGAATATATAAATAAAACAAGTTTTGGGTCAATAATTAATTAATCTAAATGTAGCCCATTTTCACTATAAGGCTAATCATTTTATTTACTTATTTATTTGGGCCAATTATTCTTCCTATCATACCATTTCTTATGAGGCCCAAATAATTATAATTTACCCTATTCTATAAATATCCCTTTGATCCTCAAATTTGCCACACAAAAGTCAAAGGGGTAAGCTTTTTTTTCTTTTCATTCTTCCTTATTTTCTTTCTCTTGTTCTTACTTTTCTTTTCCCCTGCTTCACGTGAACTGCTCACAATGCAAGGAGAAGTTGGAAGCTTTGCTCCTCCACGTCACCCGCCACCTCACACCTGCCACATCACCAGCCACCTCCGGCCGCCCAGCAGCCGCCGGCGACCAGCCGACCACCACCACCACGGGTCACCTCCTTCTTCCCTTTTCTCTCCTCTTTTCATTCTAGCTATTTTGATGATTTTATTTATGGGTTTTGGTTTTAATTATTCAAAGTATGTTTGATTAGTATCATAATTATGTTTTGATGATTAAAGATTGTAAATTTTAAATAATAAAGTGTTTTATTTTCAGATTTCATAAAATTATAAGTTAGGATTTTAATTATTAAAGTGTTGATTTTTAGGGATCTAACTCACAATTGATTTGGAGGTTTTATATACCCATTGATTGTAAGTGGTAATAAAGCTTAAAGATTGTATCTTTATGGAGTTTTAATGAAATTTTAATGGGTTTTTGTTAATAGAATAATGCTGGAATTTTTATTTACATACTACTTTTGTGTATTAATTAAAGGGAGTTGATTACCCATAAGTAGAGAATATTTTAAGTGGTTTTAATATAATTTTCAGATTTTTTTAAAGGGTTTAAGCCTTAAAAAGTATGCTGGAATTTTTATATGAACACGATAATTGAGTTTTCACTTTGTGGTTTTAATTACTCTCTTAAAGAGAGAGTTTTAAAGGTTTTAAACCAAAATTTCAGCTTGTTAGTGAGGTTTTAAAATGTTTAAAAGTTGCTGGAAATTTGTGTATACTGAGGTAATTAATATAGGTTTATTGTCCCTTTATGTAGGAGACTTGGTTCGAGAGGTGTTGTAGTGTAATTGACCCTTTTAAGAGCTTAATTGAGGTACGTACGCGTACTTAGCATATTTTGGTGATGTAGAATCATGCTAGGTTTGATTTCAATTAATTACAAGTAGTATCATGCTAAGGTTTATGTATAAAATTGTGAATTTATGATGTTTGTGGTTCAATTGGGAAGCATGAATTATTTGTGATGGTTATAGATTGGAAGATTGTATTTTGGGCATGTTGTGTTTGAACCACATTTTTATTTATGGTATGTTAGAAGGCATGATTAATTAAACTACATGTTTAATTATATTTGGAATATTGAAAAGAAATTTTATTATGGTTCAAATAATTTTTATTGATGCTTTAAGCATGAGGAAGGAGCTATATAAGTGTCTATGTACACAAGGAATAAATAGTATGTTGGTGCCTTTGTGCACTTAAGGTGTTTTTAACACCGAGGGATAGGATTTTTGGCGCATTATGCGTTTAAGGTGTCTTTGACACTGAGGTAGAATTAAAAAGGGTTCAACAATAAATAATATGTGGTCACTAATTATTCAAGAATTAAATTGGTATGTTTGTTTGATTGAATAATTATTATTGATTGACTTATTATGCTTTGAGAGTCATCACCAAGTCTAATAACATGTAAATAACGTAAAGTGAAAGAGATTACGCACCAAAACTCTTGGAACGTATATACCTTGAGTATGAACAATGGGGGGAGTTATGGGGTTTTATATTTAACCATAACTTCTAATGGAGTACAGGACGCTGTATATTTCTTTTTTTTATTTATTATTATGCGCAGGAATTCCGCCACCTTTGAGTGGTTTTGTCGTTGGCACGGTTAGCTCCCGTGTCAGTTAACCTCAAATTTATTTGGGGGAGGTTAGGAGGTGGAAACCCGTCGATGCGTGACAGGGTAAAGTCATATTCCCTAATAAAAAATAATTACCTAATTCACTAACTAAAGTAGATAGGGAAGTAGGGTCGATCTCCACAGGGAAACAAGTCTTTTTACTCCTAATTAAATATTATAATCTAAATTATTTAAGTAACTAATATTTATGAATAAGTAAGAAACTAAACTACTAAGGTTGAGAATAGGAAGAAAACAATATATAAAGGATCTAGGGCATAGGTTCACCAATAAATAATACTCCGGGGTAAAATAGGGTAATCAATCATTGACAAGGCATAGATAACATGATTATCAGGCTCTCGCAATTTATTAATCAGCATAGATCTAACAGGCTCTCGCAATTTACTAGATCTAAGTTCTTATTGAAAATAACCTTTAATATCAAATTAACATCTGCTCAATTCATCAATTTAATATTGCTATACTTTTATAAGCCGCAATTGTAAAACATTAAAAAAAAATCCAATAAGAAATCATCATGCAATACCAACAATCAATAATAGTCAATCATCAATGCATCAATTAACCAGATTGTAAAGGGCTCTCGCTACTTATTACAATCACATAATTAATTTACCGG